GAGAGAGAGAGAGAGAGAGAGAGAGAGAGAGAGTGTTCGCCCCGTCCTGAGCGGTGACCTGACCGACCTTCCGCCTCGGCCAGACCAACGGCCTCGTTTAGGCCGGCTAGCCTACCCCCCCCCCTCAAGTGCTTGATATTTTCATTGACAGGTGAGTCACGCCCCAGTGTAGCGCGAGAGGCAACAAGCCGAGCTCGATGGCGCTAGGGGCTGTGAGCTGTGCTGGGACTGGGAGGCAGGCAGGCAAACGAGCTATGTCTCAAAACTTTTCAAACCAAGTTTTATCATGTTCTCATTTTGAGAAACACCTTACTTACAAGCAAGTACAGATTGCAGCTTGGAAAATAAAGGGTTAGTTTTTTCAGGGTGAGGGAATTGCAGAAAGTGCGACGCTGTGAGTCTTAAGTAATTACTTGACACACACAAACACACACACACACGCCGGCACGCGCGCATGCGCGCACACTCACACACGATACGTTAAAGAAGGTCGCTCTGACTCAAGAGACTTTAGACTTAATGATTTTAAAAACAATCCCTTTATATTTTGCTCGAAGAATTCGCGTGCAAAAGTTTTTTTCGATCCAACCACTTTTTTTGCATTAAAGATGTATTCCGACGTTTTTCTATAGAAGGCGCCATCTTTAATTTTTTATTTCAAAACACATACTTTCAGCACATTTTTTCTGACAATTTTTATCCGATTTAGTTCAATTACGTTTTTACCACATGTTGTAGCAGTCAACGGCTGTGATCTGAACCACAACGCTGAGGTTTGGATGGATATTTCCATACTACTTCTTACTTGTAGGTTAAACCCTATATTTTTTCAACGACTCTTTTGCTCGTGGACTCTTTAATCAATGCCCTGCAAAAAAAAGAGAGAAATAAAATGCATCCCTTAAAGTTGTCCATTCTATTTTGCAGGGACGTTACATCTCTTATTTTGCCCCGCTCCTCTCTCTTCTCTTCATTTCATGAAAATTGAGTCGAGGTAGAGCAGGTGTAGGTCAGAGGAGGAGCCTGCCAAATTATACCGCATCACGCTTTGGCCCTGGGGGACAGGGACCACCTTCAGCGGCGGGCAAAGCCAA